AAAAAAAAAAAAATCCAGGATATGAAGGAGGAAATTTACAGAGAGATTCATACCTTAAAAAAGAATGTAGCAGAACTTATGGAACTGAAAGATTCTCTGAACAAAAAATAACCAAGAGCTTAAGCGGCAGGCTAAAATAAGCAGACAAAATAATTTCTAATCTTGAAGATAGTCTTTTCAAAATAACCCAGGTAGACCAAAAAAAAGGAAAAAAGAATTTTAAAAAATGAAGAAAATCTAAGAGAGCTAGCAGACAAGCCTAAGCATGCAAACATTTGAATCATTGGTATTCCAGAAGGGGAGGAGAAAGGAAAAGGCATGGAAAACCTATTTGACAAAACAGTAACAGAAAATTTCCCAGCTATAGGGAGAGACGTGGACCTTCAGATCCAGGAGGCTCAAAGATCCCCAAATAGATTTAATCCAAAAAGATCCTCTCCAAGACACATTATAGTCAAACTGGCAAAGCTCAAAGACAAAGAGAGTATCTTAAAAAAAGCAAGGGAAAAGCATCAAGTCACCTATAAGGGAGTCCTTATCAGACTAACAGCAGACTCCCCAGTAGAAATTCCACAGGCCAGAAGAAAATGGGATGATATTTCCAAAATACTAAAAGAAGAAAACTGCCAGCTAAGAATACTATACCCAGCAAGGCTATCCATCAGAAATGAGGGAAAAATAGTGTATTTTCCAGACGAAAACTGGAAGAGTTCACCACCACATGACCAACCCCACAAGAAATCCTCAAGGAAGTCCTGCATCTGGAATCCAGAAAACAATAATTATTACCACAAATACAAGAAAGAAAGAAACCCACAGGTAGAACAGAAATGGAAATGAGAAAGAGAAAGAAAATAAATCTTGCCACCACATAAAAAACAACAAAAAAAACCCCCCATACTAACAATGTAATAATGCCCTTGCTTTATTTCTGATTTTAGTAATTTGGGTCTTCTCTCTTTTTCTTTTTGGTCTAGATAAAGGTTTGCAAATTTTGTCAATCTTTTTAAAGAATCAACTTTTGGTTTTGTTGATTTTCTCTATTGTTTTTTAATCCCCTATTTCATGTATTTCTGTTGTAATATTTATTTCCTACTTATATTTGCTTGTGGTTTAGTTTGCTCTTCTTTTTCTATTTTCTTAAGGTAGAAATTTACACTACTGATTTGAGATTTTTCTTATTTTTATATAGGTACTTACAAGTATAAATTTTCCTCTAAGCACTGCATGAGCCCAGCATCCTATAAATTTTGATATGTTGTGCTTTGATTTTTATCTCAAAGTACTCTCTAATTTCCCTGTGATTTTTCTTTTTACCCATTGTTTACTAAGGATAGTGTTGTTTAATTGCCACATATTTGTGAATTTTCTAAATTTCCTTCCATTATTGTGGTCAGAGAACATATTTTTTATGATCTTAGTATTTTTAAATGTATTAAGACTAGTTTTGTGGCCAAAAATTTTTAAATTTTAAAAATTATTTAACTTACCATCAAGATAAATATCACTCCCTAATTCAGCATCAACCCAAAACATAGAAGCCACAGCACCTGAAAATATATATTAAGACAATATTCATCAAATAAAAATATTTCTTCAAACTGAGAAACATGATTCTATCCACGTTTTAATTTGTTCCGATGGAATTAGCAGATAAACACCTGTATGAATTAAATCCAGTTTTCTAATCTTCTTATGAGAACAATAGCAATAGAACCTTTAACTACTTATATCCATTTCTATCCTTCTATTTCCTTAAAAAATAAAAAAAAAAAAGACGAACTTTTTGGTTTGTACCACATATAAACCAAACAATCAAGCTTCCACCAATGCCATAATTATTTACCAACAGATACTATAAAACAATTTGGGAAGTATGTAATAGCAATAGAACCTTTAACTACTTATATCCATTTCTATCCTTCTATTTCCTTAAAAAATAAAAAAAAAAAAAGACGAACTTTTTGGTTTGTACCACATATAAACCAAACAATGAAGCTTCCACCAATGCCATAATTATTTACCAACAGATACTATAAAACAATTTGGGAAGTATGGCTGTGTGCACAAAAGACTTATTTTTATTTTCTCATCTCCTAAATATGATGAGTTCACAAATAATGAATTATACCTTTAAAGGAAAAGCAAAATAAAACAGACAATTCCAAAATCACCTGTCCAAAAAATACTTTGTTATTTTTGTAGACAAAAAGAAACTAGAATTAAAATTACACACTCTATGAGATTACTAACTAATCCTCGCAGTATTTATTTAGTACTGGTATAAAATTTGAGTCTGACGAAAAATTATTTCTAAATAAGAAATTAAAACTTGTTTTTGACACAAACTGGTTTAGTACCAAACCACACACCCTGATTAGTATGCCACAACACAAGAAAAAGAAAATTGACAACAAGGAAAGTATTGGATTTTCCAAAGCATCACAGGCCCAGTTAGTGACAGGCCTGTCTAAAAGAATGAGGATAGGGGAAAAACAAGGATAACTGAACTCATTCCAATGTCTAAAGCTGTCCACCTACCCTGACGAGATGTGGTCCTCCAAGCATCACTCTGTGTCAACAATGAAATACCTGTCAGCTCTTTACAGTGATTACTCATGCAAGATATAGCAAGGGCCACAAGATCTAATGGTTTCCTGATACCTATTGATTTTTTTCCCCAAAACTTAATAGTTTTCCAATTTGACTGAAATAGGAGTTTTGAGTAACCAGGGCTGAATCAATGTTGTCCTTTTCAAGGAAATTACTTTACCATAACAATTACTTAGCTAAGAAGTGGAGAGTCTCCTAAACGGGAAACAACTGAATTGCCAATAATAATTTTCTTCATTTCTTGGCTAAAAACATGACTTTCATAAATGAGGGAGAAAAAAGTAAATCTACTAAGTATCACTACTCCAAACAATAAGTCATTAAAAAAGTATTAACTTCTTCACTCTATAAAATATCTAACATCATACATAAGTCATTTTATAATTTTTCAAAATTCATTGATTTCTATTCGATAAATAGGTTGTAAGTCCTACCACTAACATTTGCCTGTTATTAAGTTGAACTGTAAGAGTGTATTCTAAACCTGATGTTTATCTTTAATGTAATACTTGCCAGGCTACACAAACAGAACTATTTAAAATTTATATGTAGGTATTTATCAGAAAGAGTAAAGATAAGCAAATGAAGTTAATCAATGGCTTTCAATGCAAGGTGATTTTTCTCCCCAGAAAATACTTGGCAATGTCTAAGATATTTTTGATTGTCTCAACTATAGGAATGCTACTGGCATCTAGTGGGTGGAAGCCAAGGATGCTATTAAATGTCCGACAATGCACAGGACAGCCCCCGTACAACAATTAATTATTCTAACCCTGAGCTAGATTACAGAATCTCTTCTACAAAATCTAACAAAAATAATCAAAGATAAAATTTAAAAAGCCAAAAATCAGTAGCAAACAAGTATAAAACTTTCTTCTCTATATTTTTTTAGGTATTGTTTAAATTTTGTTTATGAATGTTCCACCTTTACCCAAAAAATAAAATTATGATTCTAAAGAAAGTTAGAAAGAAGAAACATTAACTGGTTTTTTTATACTTATAATTGGTACAAAGATTTCTCTGATATCTTTAACCTTTCTTTCTTCGCCTGATAAGCCAAATCATGTTTTATTAAACTCAAGTACTCTCAAAGAAAAGTAACAAGAATTTTTTCTCTAAAAAGTGGCAGAATTGGTTATGATGAAAAAAAAATTAATATTTGCTATTTCAAAAAGAGGCATACAGTATATTTTCCTATCTTAACAGATTTAAATTAATTAAATATTTAACACCAACATATGAGTCCAAGTCCTATCATCAGTCAGACATATGAGAAAAGTATGGAAATGTATGAAAAACTCATGCCTACTACAAGGACCAAAATAGCCCCAACTCAATACTACCTTGAAAACATGGTGTTATTATGTAACACTTTTAAGTATAATGAATAGCCACTGATTACATTTAAAGCCTCTGTAAATGTACCTCACTATTTCTTTTGGACTATAACCCTTTTAATAAATTACTGTTAGGAACTTTAATATAGTTTTACAAATCAGCCCAATACCATAAACCTAGATCAAAAAAGAAATAACCATATGGGAAAGACTCAAGGAACAAGCACTAAATATTATGCAAACAGAGAATAAAGATTTTACCTAAAAATCATTTGGGGAAAATAAGTAGATATTATTAGAATTAGAGTTTGTTAAGAAGGTAACAGAAACTCATTGTTAAAAATAGGTCGACTTTTTGTGGCTTTCCATATGAAAGTTTACATGTAATTCTATTCAGAGATAAAAAAATTTTATGGATAATCATTAATTTCACTAGAAAAAAGATCAAGTAAGCTTGAATTAACCGTGTATTTTCTTTGATAACTTATTACAGCATTTACAAATAAAATTATTTCAATTTTTATAGTAGAAAACAAAATGCTAACAATTAACTCAGGCTTTATATATCTCTTAATGACTCTCTAAGAAAGCTGGGTCAGAAAGTAAAGAGAAATAAAATCTATACATAGTATAGCCAATCAAATATACTCATATACTTAAAAGTACAATCTCTCTACTTTTTCTAAATTTCCATATTTTTTAACAGCTTTTGTTTCTACCAATAACCTTAAATCAATCAATAAACGTCTATTCTATTAACAGCATAAAAGTACCGAAAAGCACTGTGATAATTCACCTAACAAAGAAAATAACAATCCAGTATTTTTCTTCTTTTAAACCCCCCAAAATTTTTAATCTGAAGTAAAGCTTTAATACTCGTGTTAGCTATTTCTCTAATACACCTATTTAAAATGTCAAAGAACTATATTCTGGTTACTGACAATGTCATTTCTTACCAGGATCTGCTAACCCAGTGGTCTCTAACAGTATGTAATCAAATTTCCCCTTCTTCTGCATCAAATTCTCAATAGCTCGGAGGCCATTGTCCCTGGAGAACAACAAAACATAACATACAGTGATTACCAGAATTTTTTAAGTAATCATTATAAAATTTTAAAATGTATTCAACAACCTGAGACAAAAATATCTTTAGGGATGTGAAAATTCAACTCCTATTCTTCTAATGAAATGTCTGTCCAGTATTTACCAATGAGAAGAAAAAAATAGATGCATATAAACTAATAGGTAAAAAGAAGTCATATATGTGATAAGTTAATACTTTAATTTTATTAAACTTAAAAGAAGAGGTAACTTCAATTTATCTGACTATAGTCAGTATCTGTTATTTTTACAGCTTTATGAAAGAAAAAAAAATCAACATCCAAAATAAGGATAAAATTTAACTACAGTAGTTTAATGTAATAAAGGGACACTGCCATTAAATATCATTTAATTATATTCTGAATTAGGGTACAAGGTTTTAATTTCCCTTTTTTTTCATAATATCAAAAGTGAAGAAAAATACAACGAATTACATTTTAGTTGTTTAATAAAGTCTGTTATGATTTTATCCTTGCTAACACATTTGACTCAAAGCGAAACACCTATTCACTGAAATTCATTAGAATACACAAAATTAACAATATAAGCATTACTCTTCATAATTCATTCAACAAGTATTTAAGTTGCTACTATTTGTCAGGTACTCTTCTAGAATCTATGGTAGATTGGTGAACAAAACAGACACTGCCCTTGAAAACTTAACTGCTGGAACATAATGTAAGGTTTTCCTCTTTTTTGATAGTCATTTACTTTTGTTTTAGAGAGGTTGAACACTTGAAAATAAGACCAGTGACTTATCTGGTGAACAAAAGAGACACTGCCCTTGAAAACTTAACTGCTGGAACATAATGTAAGGTTTTCCTCTTTTCTGATAGTCATTTACTTTTGTTTTAGAGAGGTTGAACACTTGAAAATAAGACCAGTGACTTATTAAATTCAGAATAATCATTCTTTACATATGAAATAATTTTCATAAACTACAGACATTAATTAAATAAATCCAGACATCGAAACAATAAAAAACTCAATAAAATGACCAAAACATTAGAGTAGAAATAAATAAATAAATAAATAAATAAGATAGGAAGAATGACTTTTTAAAAAATGCATCCTACTAAATTTATTTTCTACTTGAAAATACAATGAAGCAAACTGTGTAAATTCACTCAAATTACACAAGAAAATCAAAGGTGGAAATATAATCAATAAACATTTCTAGTAAACCAACAAACACAGTAAACACATTCCTCACTTCACTGAACAGCAGAGACAACCGTTTCTAAGTTCCAGCCACTCTTCATAGAGTTCTCCACCATGGCTGACAGCTAAGGATTTCTCCACTGCACTTCCTAGAATAATTAAGAAGAAGTACTCTTTAGATTATGTTCACTAGCCAACCAAAAACAAAGATGAGGGTATTCAATAATGGAACAGATTTCAAAGCAGAAACTACATTTTATTACATTTATTCTTTCATTCTATTCATACAGCCTCAATATTCAAATTATGGCACTCTAGATTATTTTAGCTTCTCTTTCTTTAAGAGGACTTAAACACCTAAAAAAGGCAAATACAAAATTAATGAACATACTTCCTCTTTAGGCGTCTTACTTGCCCACTCCCATTTCTTTTTTTTTTTTTTGTGACTGGTAAGGGGATCATAACCCTTGGATTGGTGTCGCCCGCACTGCACTCAGCCAGTGAGCGCACCGGTCATCCCTATATAGGATCCGAACCTGCGACGGGAGCACCGCTGCGCTCCCAGAGCCACACTCTCCTGAGTGAGCCACGGGGTCGGCCCCCACTCCCATTTCTCAGTAAAGTAGCTCTCTTGAAGTCATTTTTTTCTTGTCTATGGTAAACTTTCTAGATAATCTAGTATGTTTTGTATACTGGCTTTTGTATGTCCTTTGACCTCTTAAGAGACTGCCTTGTCTATTTTTTTCTTTTCATTCTTCCTCTAAATTGTTTGTGTCTATTAGACAGACTGCCTGAATATTCCCAGTATTAGTAAAAACCCAAGTTCATTTTGAGGAAGTTTTTTGACCATTCTATCATCTGCTCATTTAAAAATTAAACTTTTAGTAAGATACACATGAATTTCCTTACAATGCTTACTTGAGAAAGAATAAAGTATATTTGAAATGCTCGTTACATAAGAATAATTTTAAATGTTTTATTTTTCTTCCAATAAAGAAATATACTAAAGTGAGGGAAGAGTTCTAAATGTCCATCAAACCAAATGGCCAAAAAAATTGAACAGTTTTTCATTCACATGTATTTTTTGTTCATAGTTCAGTTAGGTGATAATAAAGAGCTTTTAAAGGCATTGCTACAGAATTCAGGCTATGTAGAACATTAATAAAACATAAAGGAAAGTACTGAGAATGCTGTGAAGGACAAAATTGTAAAAATAATCCAGAAAAATTGAAGTATAATAGTAAGAAATAATAAATGTTATCCATATGCAATAGAAGATCAATTAATAAGAAGCTAGGGAAAAAAAGCTGTTAGAAATTTTTTTGTCTACCACTTTTCTCTTTAGTTTAGTAAAACCAAAAATGAAATTACTAACAGGCTTCCCATACTGTATAGATTTTTTTAACCACAGTTTAATATTAAAGATAAAAAAAATCAAGAAGTTAAGCATACATACTTTCACAGACAATTTAAACTGTTTGAGGACAAAGACCATATGTTGAACTTATTTTTAAACTCTTCTGTTTTAACTGCTTTGCAGATAATAAACATTCAATAAGGTGAACTTATAATAACAGAAGCATTTTCAAACAAGTTTCATGAGTTGCAATAAACAATATAACCAGTACAAAAGCACCTTTCCATTTCCTGAAAAAAACTTTCTCTCATGTGTTAGATGTTTACTTCTGGAGTCAATTTATTTATAGTAAAAATCTAATTTAATTGTTAGTATGAATTCCAAAGGTATAGAAAATAAAATTTTCTAGAAACTATCTGACTTCAGTATTCCAAACTAAACAAAATAAAGTTTAATAGAAATTAATCTAATTTTTTCCAAAGCTATTCACATCAGTGTGTTCACATTATAATATCTAACATTTTCATTTTTAAATATGAAATATGGATTTACCAGTGGAATAAACTATCCTATAAATTCTTGCAATATAACATTTACTGAACCTTACTTACCTTCCCCAAATTCATTTAAAATAACTGCTACTCTTTTACTATGTTGCTCTGTCAAAATATAGTTCAGAAGTGTTGTCTTCCCAGCACCTATAAAATACATGTTTTAAATAACAAAATTCAAAGACTAATTTTAAAGGCACAAAACAGATATAAAGAGTCCTAATGTTTTTAAGAATTTGTGTGCTATTTCTCATATACTGGGTAATTTGTATTACCTTTTAATTCTATTTTTCCATGAACTTTTTGAAGTAACTTTGTATTATTTAACTATATTATAGAAGGTTCTAGAGGAAAAGATTAAGCACCCTTTGAAAACTATTACAAAATGCTTTATGTAGACATAAAATTTTACAAATATTCACAAATACTCTTTGAATCAGTGTTCTTTAACATAATATGACAAAAATAATATGACTTCTTCATAACATAATGAACATAAAGGCATCTAAAGCTTCTATTAAATAAGGAATTACTGAAGTAATGGATTCCAAGGACTTGAATCAGTGTTCTTTAACATAATATGACAAAAATAACGTGACTTCTTCATAAGATAATAAACATAAAGGCATCTAAAGCTTCTATTAAATAAGGAATTACTGAAGTAATGGATTCCAAGGAATAAAGTATTTGTGAAGTTTACAAAACATAAAATATTTAAATCCTTTTACATGATGACAATGTTTCTGTACCAAGAATATAAGGCTTACTTCCCTAAAATTTACATATAAAGACTTATCTTTTATTCTAACATCCAACATTAACCAGACACAAATATGGCTACTTTTAGTATGCTTAAAACAATCTATAAAATTGATTTTATGAAATAGGGAATGAAGGTACAAAGTGTTAACAATGGACAGAATATTCAGTATTTAAAGACAAATTCATAGAGCTACACTAGCTTTATCCAGTAGGTGGCATATTAAATCTAATATATTCTACTCAAGTAGAAGAAAAACATTTGTCTTATGAACCGTACATACCAAAGTTTATAAAGGAAATAAAAAGAAAACCCTAACTGCATAGTAGTGTAGTTCAACTGTATAAATACATCACTTATTTATCTGTTTTTCTGTTGGTGGATATTCCGGTTGTTTTCAGTGTTTTGCTATTACAAACAGTGCTGCTAAAAACTTTTACACATAGCTTGTACATGCATGTCTTCCGAAATATATTTGCAAGTTTCTAGGGCATAACTAGGAGGAATTTACTGAGAATAGGGTTCTAACATCTTCAACATTTTTAGGTCATATTCCTTTCAAAGCTTTTGAAGAGATAAAGGCTTATGTTTAGAGTGCTTTAGGAAGATCACATCACAAAAGTGTGAAGTATAGAATGGAAGGGACAGACTAAAAAGACAAGGCAATGAGGAAATATTTAAACCTAGTCCAAATGTGAGATAGAGGCCCTGAACATGTGTTGCACAGGGCAGTGACAGGAAAGTTGAAAGGAAGGGGTGGATGTACGAAATTTTCTAACGGAATTACTAGGGCTTAACAATTAACCACATTATGAAGAAAAAGACTTTAAGACATATAGAAAATGCATATTATGAAAAAACTATGCACAGATTGCAAAATTGTTTTGCACCAAAATAAATTTGTACTAACTTGTTATAACATGCCTGAATCTAGAATCTAGCTTGAGGAACTAAGAAGGAAAGACAGTTTGAAAAGAGCCTCTATACTTTCTGTATCAATTCTGCTACAACTGAAGCAAGAACAAACATCAAATTTATAGTGAAGCTTGGGTGGCAGAATGATAAAGTCACTAACGCTTTATGAAAAGTTTATGGGAACAATGTCCCAAAGAAATTAGCAGTTGACAAATGGATAACCCATTTTAAGAGGATATTGAAGATGAAGCGTGCAGCAGCAGACCATCCACGTCAATTTGCAAGGAAAAAATTAACCTTGTTTGTGCCCTAAGTGAAGAGGACCGATGATTAACAGCAGAAATAATAGCCAACCCCATAGACATCTTGACTGGTTCAGCTTACACACTTCTGACTGAAAAACTAAAGTTGAGCAAACTTTCCACTTGATGGGTGCCAAAACTGTTGCACTCAGATCAGCTGCAGACAAGAGCAGATCTTTCAATGGAAATTTTAAACAAGTGGGATCAAGATCCTGGTGCATTTCTTCAAAGAATTATAAGAGCAGATGAAACATGGCTTTACCAGTATGATCCTGAAGACAAAGCACAATCAAAGCCATGGCTACCAAGAGGTAGAAGTGGTCCAGTCAAAGCAAAAGCAGACCAATCAAGAGCAAATGTCATGGCAACGGTTTTTGAGATGCTCAAGGCATTTTGTTTGTTGACTTTCTGGAGGGCCAAAGAACAATAACATCTGCTTATTACGAGAGTGTTTTCAGAAAGTTAGCCAAACAAAGCTTTAGCAGAGAAACATCTGGGAAAGCTTCACCAGAGTCCTTTTCCATCATCGCAATGCTCCTTCTTATTCCTCTTATCAAATAGCAACAATTCTCTGAGAGTTTCAATGGGAAATCATTAGACATTCACCCTTACAGTCCTGATTTGGCTCCTTCTGACTTCTTTTAGTTTCCTAATCTTAAAAAAAAATCTTTAAAGGGCACCTATTTTTCCTCAGTTAATAATGTAAAAAGGTTGCATTAACGTGGTTAAATTTCCAGGACCCTCAGTTCTTTAAAGATGGACTAAATGGCTGGTATTATCACTTGCAAAAGTGTCTTAAACTTGATGGAGCTTATATTGAGAAATAAAGTTTATATTTTTATTTTTATCTTTTAGTTCCATTTTTCCATGAACTTTCTGTAGTTCTCTCATAGTTCATTCATTCAAAAGTATGTACTATGGACCAGATTTATGCTGGGCGTTAGTGAAAACAATTGAACACAGCAAAGACAAACAGTCTCTGCCTTTGTGGAACTTACAAATATTAAGGAAAGAGGAGATAGATGAGAATTCAGCTGAATAAGGAGGCAATTATGTCACAGGATGATACATTCAATAGGAGATGTACAAGATGCTATGCAGAAGGTAAGAGGGACATCCAGCTAGAGGAGAAACAGTAAGAAAAAAAGTATCCCAATGGTTTAAAATACCTGGCACCTTTAAGAAGTAAAATTCGTTCAACATGCTCGGCCACAGTTTGGCAGGCTGAAGGGGTTAGCAAGAGCCAGATCATACAGGTCCTTGTAACTCATGTTAGGGAATCTGAACTTTAGTCCAAATGGAAGCCACTGAGGAGGCGACACAACAGATTGACATTTATAAAGATCATTAGGGCTAATAGAGAATATACTGAAGGGCAGCAAGACTAGTTAGGAAGCTTTCAAAGTATTCCAGGTGGTTGGGATCAAAGGAGCAGAAAGATTTTGAGGGGATGGTAAGGTATTACATTTTGAACATGTTAAGTTTGAGATGGCCGTAGAACACCAACATAGAAAGCAAATGGGTGTGAAGCTAAAGATGGGGGAGGAGGGAGTTTAGAAAAAAGCCAGAGAAACAGGTAAAAAAAAAAAAAAGAAAGAAAAAAAAATCAGAAAAAAAAAACATAATAGAAGAGAAAATGGTCAAGAATGAGTAAAAGTATCCCCTAGATTCAGCAACCAAAAGGTTACTGGCATTATTTCTCACTTCTTAGCTTCAGACTATTATCTCCAATGCTCTAGTGATCTACTAGTGAGCAAATTGGGGAAAGCCAGAGGGGCAAGTCTGAAGTATACTGTCTGGACAAGAAATGTGCTCAACTTCTCAGTAGAGCAGCCTCTGAATATAGTGGGGAAATAACAAAAATCAATTCCTTTATAAAATTAGTCCTGAGTAAAAATGGGAAATGGGAATAAACAGAATAAACTTACAATCTAACAACACAAGAAAATGCAGACACCAAAGATTTAATTCTTATTTTTATATAAAAGGACCTCAGGGGTTCGAAGTCCCTACTTGTCTCTAGCAGCATCTAGCAATGGTATTATTTCCCTGAAATAGTATCACTTTATTTACATTTCTTATATAGTTATGTATTTATTCTAGCCCTTTTATTTAGCTGTAAGACTTTAAAATAATATTTCTTAAACTTTTCTAATAAAAAACCTCTAGTGTAAACGCATAAACTGTCCTTCAGGAAACTGTACCATGTTCACAAATCTGTGGTTTCATATATCCCTGTGCACTCCTGAATGTCCTCCGTTTGGGAACTAGTCTAGGAGAACGGAGATTTTATTCTTACTCTTTCTCCCACCGTGCTTTACAAACAGACCTCAAAAAAAAAAAAAAAAAAAAAAAATGTCTGGAATAGTTTGGCTCGTAGGGAATCTACTGAGGAATGCCCCAGGTGTGTAGAGCAGTTTACAGACAGGATATCCTTTAATAGCAACAGACTTATAAGGTAGGCGTTCCCTGCCCCATTTTGCAGATAAGCAAGCAAGCTCAGATAGGTGACGGTTATTATTTCCGTTTTCACGTGAGGTGGATGAGCTTCAGAAAGGTAAGATAACTTGTCAGAGGTCACACGGATAATTAGGGGGAGAGTCCGGCCTTCAAAGCCTTGTTTCAAAGGCTAACTTTCGAACTCTCTTGAGAAATGTATCTATCGCAGAAGGATCTGGGCATCATTAAACCCCCGAAATGAGAGACAACCCATAGGAGGAGCAAGTGACCCAGCCCCTACCTCAAAGACCTTTGCTCTCGGCCAGGAGATCCCAGTGCCTAAGGAGAAGAGGCACCGACAGCCCCCAAAATCCCAGGATACCAGAGTTCACGTCATTTTCTGACCGGGATTGTTAGTTACCTAAATACCCGGTGATAATTGTGACTGGGATCTTGGAGCCGGGGCCAGACTTTTCCTCCTCCTCTCCTTGCATCGTCTCAATCGGAACCAATTCAGGACAGTCGTCCTCCGCATGCTCCTCTTCCTCATCCACCGCTCCTACAGCCTGTAACATCCCGTCCTACAACACGCCTCTCCCTCAGCTCAAGAGTCGGCTCCAAAGACGCCGAGCCGCTGCCGCATACGCTGAGCTCGCCACACTAGGCCCGAGTCTGACGTCATCACTCAGCGACGCGAACCCGACTACCTGGGCTCCGGCTGAGGACCTCTTTGCCCTTAGCCACGCCCCCCAGAGAGCTGGGCACGCCCCCGGGGCGTGTTCTCTGAACCTAAAGGAGGCTGCGCGGTGCTGTTGGGGCACCTTGACCGGCCCCGCCCTGAAGCTGTCAATGTCTAGCGTCTTCAGCCTTGATAGGCCAACCTGGAGTGGGTGGCCTGACCTACACAGTTCCCGCATAGACTTTTTTTTTTTTTTTTTTTTT